GGTATGGAAAAATATGGGCTATACCATACCATACCATACATTCTGCAAGAGTTATACCATACTGAATCTCTCCCTACCGAAAAAAATATTTACTCATTTTTAACGTTACACCAATTTTCACTATATACATCAACGAGTCATCATAATAATGTCAACATTTAAAATTTACAATCTCATCAATCCTCCTGAATTGTTGTCACCAAATTATGATTATATAAGAAAACCAAGTTAATAATGAAGATTCTAGTTTATATTTAGATACGGACGATGATAGTAATAATAATAATAACAACAAGATTATTACAAAGAAAAATTCCTCCCGCCACCTCTCTTCTCCTGGTGTTATAATTTACAAACATAAATGCAGTACATGCAAAAAAAATTTAATCGATTGGAACATTTGGTCAGTCATAATAGAACACATACTGGAGAAAGACCTCATGAATTGGGGGATGTAACACAAGATTTTCCAGGCCAGATGAACTTTCGAGACATTGTAGGACTCACAATAAAAATAAGAAAAAATATTATAGAAATAAAAAAATTAGTGCTTTGTCATTTAAAATTAGCGGTGTCGACTTTGGTTAATAAATGTCAGCACTTTATATTTGGTTAATTAATCGATAACGACCGTTAACACTTTACACTTTTACGTTCACACTCTAACACACTGATAAAAAATTTTAGTTTTTATGTTTAAAAACTTTTACAAAACGTAAACAAAAACTTGAAACAAACCTTTGTTTCTTTACCGAGCAAAAATTTTACTAGCGTTTTGTTTTTTCGAGAGAAGAAAAACGACTGTACGGCCGTTAAAAAATTTTAAGCGACCAAAGAAAGTCAAGTAAATAAATAAAAAAGGAACTTTATAGAAACCTTTGTCGTTTCTAAAAGGGCTACATTATTTATTGTAAATCGCGCCATAAAGTGTGCTGACAGATCGTTGAAGCTTTCTAAAAAGATCATTTCACACAGTTGTTCAAATGATAGGGCGAAATAGAGAGAAAAAAACAAAAACATTAAAACTCCAATTAAAAACATTAAAATTGCGATTAAAATCATTAAAATTGCGATTAAAATTGCGATTAAAAATAAATGTAGAATCTATTTCAGAGGAGGAAAAAATGTTTAAACATCAACTTAAAAGGGAACATATTTTATATGATTATAATTCTTTTCAATATATTGAATTTATTGATGGTGGATTATTTGGAACAATTTCTCGTGCATTTTCAAAGCATCATCAAGAACTTGTAGCATTAAAATCCATTAATATTGATCAACAATATACTTTTGAACAATTTCTTAATGAGGTAATAAATCTGTAAATC